AAGCGATCTAGTAGGTGTAGATTCTTCCGCAGTCCCTCGATGATATATATAGAGGGGCTGTGATTCTTCATTGTAGTAGATATCAATAACAGTTGAATAATTACAAAATGATAATTTTGCATGACAATAAATAATAGGTTTAACACATTTTAGCTGGCGTGTTTCCTGTTTATTCGAGGTACATGTACATGTACCTAAATAATAACATCAGTGCATTGTCTTTTCTACCTCCATGCTCAGACTCGCGACTTTTTTTTCCTAGCCCATCAGCATCGTGCCATGTAAAGAAACAAGACAAACACGACACCAAAATCGATTTCAGTACAGTTTTTTTCATACTCAGTATTCGAGGGCACTGTTTGGCTATGATCGAACTGAATCGAACTCTGGCAGATCTCGGCTCTCGTTCGGCTCCCGACCGTATGAACGCATTGGAGATAATCTCCTGTTAATCAGTGGGAGGAGCAGTAGTTTGACTCCGATAGAATGCTGCCGTGTGAACATAGCAATTGTGTGTCAGATAGCTACTAATAACACATCCTAACATTGCTTTGTCTTGAGTTAATCTTTGAAACTTATAGGCACACAGATTAAACCTGTGTTGTTGATTTTGGAAAACACTACTGAAGCTGCCTTGCTTCCTTTCAGAAAATCTACATTTTAACCAACTTACGTGACATTCTATGTTACGTTGAATTTATCAAATGAAAGTTTATAGTGCATTTCATCAATTAATAAATAAATGTGAAAATCCTAATTTTCAACACAAATAATAGTCTCGCTACCTTAATAATATCTACTCAAATTGACAGATACATTTTGTGTTGGGGATACAATACTGGTTAGTCAAGTAATAGAAAATTAATGAGTAAAATACATGATAAAAATAACCTGCTACAGTCACAATCCACAATATTAGTGATGACACGGTTACTTAGCAACTAGAGAAATACAACTTTTGATATTGATACTCATTAGAATGCACTTGCAACGTTGTGGATTGATGTGGGTATCGTATTCATTGTAAAGAAATTAAGTGTCTTAGAAAGATCGACAATATATACTCTTGATATATCAATGCAATGTTGATCAAACACTGGCACGAGTGTAATTTGAATTTATATATGAAACATCGATCTGTGCAATTAAAATAACATTTTTGCTAATTCCCTTTTATTTTCTCTAGGTCTTTTTGGCGTACAGGGTAATTTACATTTTTGTAACTGATCTTACAAAGGGACTTGAGGATATTTTAGAACTGGAGCCCCAAGCTCAGACAGAAAGATGTTGGAAAAAAGATATGCCATTGCAAGGTATGATGAATTAAAGTTCCAACAAATTACACATTTTGCTTATATTTTATATTATAATTAAAGACTAAAAATTAAGTATTTCATTCCATTGGTATTTTGTTCAGACTACATGCGTTTCTGGACAAATTCAATTCATACCCATGCAATGAGGGATTTTGCTATAAAGGCACATGGACAAGACGAAAGTGGAAAACACACCATTGTTGCACCACCAGTTATAATTGCAGGTACAAAGAAAGATTTACTTGAAGGGGTGAGTATATCCTTATCCCCAAATAATAATATCATATGTAAAACAGTGATGTTATACAAAGAGTGTTATTGAATACTAGCGTATACATATATATCAGATTATTTCCATGACGTTATTTGTAGGGGGAGTTAACCGTCAAACTAAAGTGCTGGTTATTTGTGTCTTGAATTGATTCCATTATTTTAAAAAGGATATTGTATTTCAGGATGTCGAAAAGGAGAGCCAACGCCGTCTATGTAAATTGAGAGACTATCTCAGACAACATACAACATCAGCATGTGAGAGTCACATTACTATGCCAATGTTTGCTCTTGATAATAAGTCAAGACATAACGATAAGACGACTGATCCATCGATAGAAAGCCTCCGAAAACGGATACAGGAACTAGCTAAGGAATTTTGCTTTCTCGGTGACATTCCTGTCAATTGGCTAATACTAGAGCTAACTCTTAGATCCGAAGAGAAGGAGACACTGCAATTATCCGAAGTACACAGATTAGGCAAAGAAAGGGATCTGTCCACTGCAGAGATTAACGATGCGTTGAAGTACTTCCACGATGTTGGAGAGATCATTCACTTTGCTGATGTCCGTGAACTTAAAGATACTGTAATCATTGATCCACGATGGTTGATAAACTTATTCAGATTGTTAATTACAAATACAGTTTCAAACAAGACTAATCCTGAGCTATCTTTCGAACTGCTGAATATGTTTGATGAACTATACAACGACGGAATAATGAAGAAGGAGTTAGTTTCACAGTGGCTCAAAATGCATAATCGTGAACAGGATACAGATATTCTCTTGAAAGTTCTTGAAATGTTTGATATTATTTGTCAGTCCACTCTAAAAATCGACGAATACTACTTCCCGTGCCTACTGCAAAGCAAGCTACAGGAAAACGTGCTGTTCCCTCCAGAGTATAAGTCCAGTGACCCGTTATATTTTCATTTTCATGGTAACTTTTTACCGGAAGGATTATACTACCGTCTGATTGTTCGTTGTTTAAGAAATCATCCGAAAGCCAAGCTATTCCAGGATCATGCTCGTTTTATTCATAACGAGTCTAACGACCACCACTTTACTCTGTGTAGAAAGGGAGCGGACATAGAATTAAAGATGTTACGATCACATTGGCGAATAATTCAACATCTTGATGAGAAGGTACGACAAGAAGTGGAAACCTCCCTTAATGAGTTAATTAAGATGTACACACCGGGTTTGACGTATCACATATGCGTAAAGTGTGGTTGTGGTGGCCACAGGGATGGTATATGGCTACGGAAATCTAAGGACTTTGATGATGGATGTACAGATATCACCCCCGTATTGGATCAAGGTGTTAAACAATTACATTGTGAACGGAATAAGATGCTGGTAAACGTGACCGCAATTTCTTACTGGTATAAAGAATGTAAGTACACTTATAGGATAGACTTTTGTGTACTTACTGAACATATCCAGCAAAGTAACTTTTCACATAATGAAACATGTATGGCGACTGTCTGAGTACTAAATAATCTGATCAATGTCTTAGTATACGAATGATACATGTGAAAAAACAACTTACATATGTATTATTGGATGAACTAATAACAAGTTCTCTCATTATCTACAATTGCAGCAAAGCAGTCACCAATAAGAACATTTGAAGAGATCGTCCACTTATTCTGTTACCTAGATTCACAGCTAGATTCAGGTACATGTTTAAACTTAACAATTAAGACACATACACAAATTCTGATACACACTTTTCAAAATAGTGTGTATCATATTAATATGTACATCGCATCGCATTGTGCAAATCATTCTTTATAACACAGCTTATATTATCTTTTCAGATGCATTTGTGAGAATAAAACGGTGGTGTCATGGAAAGATACCGGATGAAATATTGCAGAGAATAAAGAGTGGATTTGACCTGTTTTATGAATTGTACAACCGGCAATTCATCAAGACTGACGACACTGCTTTTCTGGAAGATGTCTTGTCTAGCGCCGGGATGCGGGG